ATTAAATAATAAAAAAATCTGATAAACATATCATGGTAGAATTTTTTAAAAAATTAAAATCATTATAAATTAGTAAATATATCTTTCAAATAAAAAATTGTAATTAAAGTTTGATTAGTTAGTTGGGGAAAAAAAAAAGAACAAAAAAGAAGAGTGCATGCAAGGCTAAAATTGAATTTAATGAAGGATGGTAAAAAATGGTAGGCTGAATTCAATTAATAAGGGGGAAAAAAACTAAAGTAAAATGATAGATTTACCAAATTAAAAAAGTATTGACACGTGGCAGTAAAAGAATATATTAAGGAAGGCTAAGAGTATATTAAGGAGAGCTTGTAAAAGTGACATGTGGCATACTTACCTTGAATAGTTTCTGCTTTAATATATAATATATAGATGTATATCAATGAATGTACAAGCATTAAATTGAAGCCTATTTGCCCAATTTTCACACTTACCAACAAAAGCAATTTCTAGTGCCGCCCAAATGCCTGATTATGCAAGCAGCATGGTGAAAACCTTAAGCATCAAAACAACAACAAAATTTTTAGTAATTGTTTGTGCTCGAATTTGTTAGTGATTAGTAACATCATTGCTTTACGTATGTATTAAATAGTCAGGATGAAGAATCGCTTGGTTTTGGTCATGGATTGATGCATTGGTGGAATATTTGGGGTTCAAGGAAATGTAGGAGTAGAATTCTACGAAAGCTCAAGAGTTGGTCCATGGAAAATGATTGTGAGGAAGGGTTAGGAAAGGCAGAAGGGGCATGGTGGCTTTGATTTTGTCGGTTGAAAGTCTCATATGTTACAATACTGATCTGTACAAGTCGTCTAGTTGTGTATGCTAATTGGACTCTGATTCCAATTTTCATAAACTGTGAATGTTGTATTGCTCTTGTTTTATCCACACTTTCTTGATTTGTATTACCAGCAATAACGTTAAGGGAATGATCACCATAAGAAATAAGGTTTTTTAGTGGCAAAAATTTATAACGAATTTTGAAATCATCACTATAGTTTATTACAATTGCTACAGATTTTAAAAATTAATCACAGATGATGTATGTTTAATAATAATGAAAAAAATTCATCACTAAAAATTTCGTTACTAAAAAATAGTCACAAAGAAAAAACAAACTTATAATAATAAAAATCATCATTATAACTTATCCCAATTAAAGTAAATTTCAAATATTGATCACATATACAACGCATTTAATGATGATTGAAAAATTCATCACTAAACATATATTTCATCACTGAAAAATTATTATAGAGAGAATACATACTTATGATGATGAAAATCATTACTACAACTCATCAGAATTTCAACAAATTTCAAAATTTGGTCACATATATCTACACGTTCAATGATGACAAAAAAAATTGGTTATTAAAGAGATATTTTGTCACCGGAAAATTATCATAGATAAAATATAGATTTAATTATAAAACTCATCACTAAAACTCATCACAAACCTAAATAAATTTGCAACAAATAAAATGCTTCAAATAATATACTTAACAACTTGCATACATGATAAAAATTGAGATTTTTTGGCAAAAATACCAACAGGGAGGGAAAAAATTCCGTTTGACAATAGGAAGATTGAGATTTCTTAAAAAAGGATTTGAATGCAAATAACTTAAGTTTTGGGACTTAATTTAAAATATTTTAAAGTTTAAGGACTATATGACAATAATAAAAACTATAATCCAATGCTATAAAAGAGTAAATTAAAAATCTTAAGATCAAAATGTTCATAAAGCAAAAGTTTAAGCACATGATTTACTATTTACCATTATCGAAATTGCGAAAGGAATCAAAAACCGTCGCTGGTTGTATGTTGACACTGCCTTTACCGGTGTCCACGCCATGCTTTTAAAATTTGTTACCTTATGAAATTCAAAGCAGAAGGTTCCCCATTTACATTGTGATGGAGAAGTGAAATAATGAAAATAAAAGTACAGTAAAAGAAGCTTCTAATTATACATTCATCAATCCAAAATGAAAACATGCAATATATATAAAAAAAAGTAAAAAGTACAACTTGATTATTTACCACCTAATATATATGACTTGATAAAAATGAAGTAATCTTTAAGTCTACCTAATGATATATTAAACTAATAATTCATAAAAAAATTACTTAAGCTTACTTAGGTAAGATCATTTTATTGGCTGAAAAGAAAATTTGAGATTTCTTTTTAATTATGTGATTGATTCAATATTCTTAATTAGAGAGTACATTTAGAACATATATTATAATGTTAATTTGATTTTTTTATTGTAGAGTGATAAAATTAAAAGTGCCTTTCCTTTTAATTGTATGAAAATTGTATTGTTACAGTGTTAGTTATTTAATTTTTTTTTGAACAAGTTGTCAAGGGGCGAGTTCGAAACTTACCCATGAAGGAGGGATAATACACCTCAAGCTGGCAGAATGACAATTGACCCGAAGGGTCAAGTGCAGTGTCAGTTATTTAATGAATATTAAATGTATTGAGAATCGATTATAACTAGATGAATTGGGAGTATATATGTTAACAATATTTAGAGTATCTTTATACTTTTCTTTAAAAATTAGTATTCTTTTTGTTGATAAAAAAATTTATGGAACTAGATTCATTCTAAAATAAA